TAGATAGATAGATAGATAGATAGATAGATAGATAGATAGATAGATAGATAGATAGATAAATAGACAGATAGATAGAGTACATGGATTAAACAGAAGCTGCCTTATTGTCCTAATTAACAGAAATTGTGGGGAAAAAAATTGATCATTACTGTTTGATTATATCTTTTCTATATCCATTTATTTACAGCTAAGCAGAGGTTAGGCATTTTCTCTGAATGCACTTCTGTGCGAAAGCTTTTTTATAAATCCTTTAATGATATCAGACAACCTTTTTTACTCTCAAAATTTCAAATAGAGCAAAGATTGAAGGTCAGGCCCAGGTACAGATAAACACTGCTTGGAGGTGAGAGACACTTCCAAGCAATCTAAATTGCAGTTCTGAGCATCCTAGACACTGCCAGTGGGCAGTGTTTTGACATCAATATAGAAAACTTGCCACACAAAAATCAATAATTGATATATAGCAAGATCCATAGAAATGACAGTCATATCAGGCATGTTTATTATTATCGGAAGAAGCTAGGCTAGTCTGGTATTGATGTTGCATTCCCATCTGCATTAATTAAAGCTTTCTGTGCACCGTGGAGATAAGAAGATACGAGTAGGCCGAACGCCTGCTGCATGAAAAACGAACCCTCTCCAAAGAGTGGCACTGAATGCATCGGCGTGTGATTGTGTGTGACAAAATGGACAAAAATGTGCACAGCAGACAGATGGAGGGTATGTGGAATTTGCAGAGCAAACATGTACAGTTAAGATTGTAGCTCTAACAATCTATTTTATGGTCTATGAAAACTAGTGTGGATTCAGCACCACGGACAGTGACAAACCACAGTTCCACTGTTTGAGCAGAATTAATTAACTAATGTACTTTATGCTGTTTAAAAAAAACAAAAAAACTTTTTTAAGTGATGCAGAAGGATAAATTAAATACATAAAATGTTCTATATAAAATGTCTTCAATAATGAAAACTTAAAAAAACACAAAAAAAAACAAAGACAAAGGCTATTTTAGGGAAACACTTGAATATGTGTTTCTGTTTCTTTTTCTTGGATTTATTAAGTAAACTTAGTTGTACAGAATTTGACTATTGCAATATCTATAATTTAATACTCTTTTACAACATTTAATACAAGTAATTAGAAATAACAAAAGGTACTTTACATTTTTAACATTATAAACAGTTACCTATAGGACATTGAAACAATTTGGTGTAGCATCAACGCTGTTGCTCTTATTCCCAAATGTTTCTTTTCTCCCACATAGATAATAATATTCACCCTAACTCACAGCAATCATGTTGGCGCTTGCAGCGAAAAAACTTTAACAGAGCTGAAAAAGTAAAAAATATTATTCCATGAACATGAAGTATGTTTTAGAACTTACTTTAATAGATTAGACCTTTTTTTCCTTTACTATCACATAACTGGATCTGTAGTTTTAGAGTAAAATCTTGTTTGTCATGATAAAAAGTATTCAAGATCTTATTTGCCTTGCACGTCTTCCAGTTACCATGGACCAATTGACTGTCTATTATTTATGCTTTCCTAACAATGCCTATCGGTTTAAGAAGATAACTATTTCCATTTTCAGAAAATGGATGATATGATATGATTTCTGTGAAATGTTGAATGACTGTGATATTATAAATATAACCTATCCCTAATTTAAACGTATCTACAGCTTAAGCCCTGAACTATCTGGTGTTTTTATCGTTTATCATGATGCTACTGTTACTGTAAGCTAAATATTGTGTGTGGCCTTTACAGAACTGTGTTATTCATAATGCTATTATAAAACACACAAGTCATCTCGACTATTTATGTGTGTTTTGAAGGGAAATATATTCATATTCATTTATTTCCAAGTTTGATTTTTAAAAATAATGGAATATATAATCTCTTTCTTCCTTTTTTTCTTTCTTAATTTGTTTTTCAAAGACATAGAGGTAAAAAACAAAATACTTAGATATTTGTGGTTGTATGTAAAAAAATAAGGCAACACATTTCAAACATCCCAAATATTTTATTTTTCTTAAGAGCTTCAATTCTAACGTTGCCTTACGGAAGAGGATTAGGGCCACTGAAAAAAAAAAAAAGTTAACTGATT